AGGGTAGGAACTAAAAAGCAAGAAGATATTAAAGAATATAAAATATTATGTATGCATCATGAACTTAATTTGGAATTCTTTGTGTTTCATAAAGAATGGGAAGGTCAAAAAGGAAAAGGTGGAGGTGTAAGAACTGAAAGAGCTTCAACTTAGAAAAAGACAGGAACTACAATTAACTTCACCTGCCCTATTTAGAAAAACATCTTGAAGCCATCCTTCAATGTTAAAAAAAGAAAGTATTTTGTTGACTACAATTTTTATCTTTCCATTAATTAGTTACGGTTCAGAACGTATTCATTAAACACTTAGCATTTATGACACACTAAAGAATTATGTACCTACCAAGAGACTGTTTGGAGGCAAAGATCCAAAAGAATGAAACTGCACCTGTTCTCTGAATTCAGCAGTTTTAATTAATTTTAAAATGACCTCCCTTCTCTATTTTTCAAGTGGCAAATGAATCAATGTAAGAGAGAGCAAGGCCTACTTATTTCTCCTATCAGACCAACTTAGGTAAATCCTCATTTTTCTGACGTATGCTCAGACGTGAGAGATGTTTTTAATTTCTGTCTCTTACATAAGGCAAAAAGTCAGTAGACCCGATGAAAAAAGACATGTTTCAATGTGAAAAGCCACAATTCACAATGAAGATATAACAGTTTTGAATATATGTGCACCAAATAACACAGCGGCAACCATGACATGGCACAAACCACATGAGGTGCAAGGAGATACAGATAAAACACATTAATAGTAAGACACTTTAACATGCATATATTGTATTTTTCACAAATTTCAGATTTGTGGCAACACCGGGTTAAGCAAGTCTATTAGCATCATTTTCCCAACAGCGTTTAATCACTTTGTGCGTTTTTTTTTTAAGTTGCATCTATTTATCTATTTTTGAGAGAGAATGCAAGTGAGAGAGGAGCAGAAAGAGAGGAAGTGAGAATCCCAGGCAGGCTCTGCACTGTCTGCAGAGAGCCCAATGCCAGGCTCAAACTCACAAACTGTGGATTATGACCTGAGCCGAAACCAAGAGTCTGATGCTTAACTGACTGAACCATCCAGGTGCTTCCATTTGCTCACTCTGTGTCTCTGAATCAAACTTTAATAATTCTCACTATACTTCAAACTTTTTCCTTATTATTATGTGTTATAGTGACTTTCTATCCATGATTATGACCCACTGAAAGCTCAGATGATGGTTGGTAATTTTTTTAGCAATAAAATACCTTTTAACTAAGGTATATACTTTTTTCTTAGACATAATGCTGTTGCACAATTAATGGATTACAGTATAGTGTAAACATAACTTTTACATGCACTGGTAAACCAGAAAATTCACTCGATTAACTTTATTGAGATACTTGATTTTTAGTGGTGGTCTGAAACCAAACCTATAGTACGTCCCCAAGTATGCCGGCAGAAGACCTAACCAACTTACTAAATGAGGCAGAAAGCCCAAAAAAATATATAAAACTTCACTCCCTGATAATTTTTGCAACATTTCATTAAGTTTGTAATTATGTCAAAATTAAACTACCGAAAAATGAGAAGGGAGAGAAGAAAAACAGGAGTAGCAGGAAAAGACAGTCACCAAAATGTTATGAGTGACACTACTTATGGAGTTTCTCTTTTCCTCTCCCTTTCTTAAAACACTGTTAATGCATCTTGAATGTTAAACAACCTTCCCACCTTTCCTTGTTTTTTAAGTTTATTTATTTATTTTTGAGAGAGAGAGGAGGGAGAGGAACGGAGAGAGAGGGACAGAGAACATCCCAAACATACAAAGACTCCCACATGGGGCTTGAACCCAACAACCGTGAGATCATGATTTGAGCTGAAACCAAGAGTGCAACACTTAACTGACTGAGCCACCGAGGTGCCCACCCTTCTTTTAATCATAAAAGTACTTTAATTTAGCAAAGTCTATAAGCATGCATCCTCAATGGAAACCACACTAGGAAGTCACAAAATGGAGCCAGAGTGGGGATCTACAAGTCAAGAGGCTGGCTGTTAGGAAAGACCTTCCTGGCAGGTTCCAAGGTAGGTTCCAGGCAGGGCTTCAGAGGCCTTCAGGGTGGAACCTGCACATGGTGTGAACACAGGGCAATTCGGCCATGCCCCCATGCTCCCTCTCCTGCAGAAGTTATCCAGGGGTCCACGCCCTCCATCCACAATGTTCTCAGACTACCTCTCCAATAAACCCAGATTGGCAGAAGGGACCAGGACAGAGTTCCCAAAGCTAATCTCCACATCTGTCCTGTCATCGCTGATCCACACCCCAGACTCCTGTAAGACAGTGTTTTTGTCTGGCCCCACGGTGCCAAGACAGCCAGCCGGTCATGCACCCTCTGCCACTATGGCACCTCTGGGCCTGGCCCACCTACTTCTGCCCTGAGAGATCACTTCCGGGTTAAACTTTTTTTTTTTAATAAAAATCCTCTTACTGCTCTTTGGCTGAATTAATCTTTCTGAGAGCCCCATGGAAAAAAGGAAAGAAAAGTTTCCAGGGAAGAGAGATGAACATATAATTTGACTCATTAAACCAAAAGATGAAAAGTCTCTGAATTCCCAGACTTTTTTGAAGAAGATAAACAAAAAACACACCAAGAAATAAAATGTGACAGATATATAATGAAACTGGCCCAATACCCAGGGGCCCTGTGTTCATTGTCACTGTGTCACTGTGCAAAACCAGCTACCATTTTATTTTAAAATGAGAAGAAAATGCATTTTGTCTCAGTGAGCAGATGATTCCAGCTTAACAGACCCAACCCAGAGGCGCTGCACCCAGAGTTTTCTCCATCCTTCTTTTTAGAAAATAAGTTACCAAGGTGAAGCTGTAATGAAGAAAATGGGGCAAAGCAAATGGCAATGAGTACACAGCTGAGGTAACATGCGACCAGACACACTCTTTACTGTAATATATCTGATGCTGTTCTTCCACCCACCATTGACATGAACATGCAAGAAAAGAAAATACACCTGTTTCAGGTTTGTGTTTTATCTTCTTCTTTAAGCAAACAAGAATGGATGTAGTGTGTATATGCTTCATTTTACCACAAAGGATTGTTCTGGCAAAATACACACTTTTTATGAAGGATTATACAGAACTCCTTTATACTCCAGGAAACAAAGTGTAACAACCACTAAGTAGTATTAAACACAGTGCTGACCTTAAAGTGCTATATGACTTTCTCTTGCAAAAATCAAAAATAAAAATATTTCCTCAAAGAAATCTCACCTTAACGGTAATATTATTTCTAAACAGTTAAGGAGAGGTTTACAAAAACAGTAATTAATGTTCAGTCATTTGCAACCCTGAACCATTTTCTCTAACTTTTACTGATTTTAATGAACCTATTTTCCTATGAAGGGTCACTGCTTCTCAATCCCCAATTTTGTCTTTTTTCATGTAATTGTACTTTCTAAAGCCAGTTCTTCATTTTTGTGCTGGACTTTACTTTTGTAGCTTCTAAAATACAGAAGTCCTATCTTTTACTTATAAGAGTAAGTGGCATTCAAGCTATGGTAGGCTGACCTCAGTAGCTAAAAAAAAAAAAGTCCAATAGCTTAAAATTTGAGACACAAGCCATGAAAAATATGATGAAAATGGAGTTGACATCCTGCAATTTTAACTTATTTTACTTGAGAGAAAAACAAGGGATGATTCTCTTCTGACCTCATTAAGGCTCCTATTTATACCTATGTGGACTTCATGAACCTACTACAGATATCTGAGTAGAAATAATCTAAAACATTTAGGGGCACCTGGGTGCCTCAGTTGGTTAAGTGACCAACTCTTGATTTCAGCTCAGGTCATGATCTCTTTGTCCTAAGATCGAGTCCCACATCAGGCTCCACACTGGGAGTGGAGCCTGTTTAGGATTCTCTCTCTCTCCCTCTGCCTCTGCCTCTCCCCTGCACATGTGCATGCTTTCTTTCTCTCTCAAAAAATAAAATAAAATAAAATATTATTTAGCATATTTTAGCCAATATATACAATGCCCCAAACATAGAATTTCTTAAAATGCTATTTATATACACTATCTCTGCCTCTTTTGTGTTACCATAACAATCTACTGGGTCTCTGAATTTTTTAATTAATTTTATTATTAGCCTAATATTTTTCTTGGTTCATGAATGTATAGAACAGCTTTATAAACCTAAATTTACTTGCACTGTGACTACTCTAACATAATACGTTAAACTCATTTATTTCCTCATCACTTTCAGCTAATTACCTAGGTCCACTGTGATGAATGAAACAGAAGGATTTAGAATAAAATCATCTGTACTCAAGTCCTAACTCATTTACTAACTAACTGAAAAGTCACTAAACTTTTTTGCTCCTCATTTTGCTCATCTCTAAAAGAAAGTATTGAGTTAGACAGGTTCTGTTGCTCCTCTGAGACTATCATTCTAGGTTACTAACCTTAAAATAGTTCCACAAGCCATTTTCACACTTACCAACATGGAGGTACAGTCACCTTAGGCTATGACCAGCTCTAGTCTAAAAGGTAGTGTTCTCCTATTGCCAGAAAAGGTTTAATCAAACCCTTGTGAAGCCCATTAAGCTGTGACCAGTACTAATGTTCTTTGCTGAAAGAGCGTTACTAGTTTTCACTAAGATTCATTGTCTCATTAGTGACCCAATTTCAAAAGTCACCGCACAGAGGAAATTTCTCTTAAGAAACCTGAGAAGTGGGGCACCTGGGTGGCTCAGTCAGATGAGCTCAGACTTCAGCTCAGGTCATGATCTCACGGTTTGTGGGTTCCCTGTGGGCTCTGTGCTGACAGCTCAGAGCCTGGAGCCTGCCTCAGATTCTGTGTCTCCCTCTCTCGCTTCCCCTCCCCCACTCAACCACTAGCTCTCTCTGTCTCTGAAAATAAGTCAGTCTAAAAAAAATTAAAAAAAAAAAAAAAGAAACCTGAGAAGTAAAACCTCTAAAACTGTTACACATTTGTTACTACATTAGGAAAGTTCACAGTACCTAAAATAGCCACCACCTCATCATCCTGGATGACTTCCAAGGATCCTGACACCACAAAGCAGAGGGCATCCACACTTTCTCCAGCATGGTAAATGAGGTCCCCGGGAGCGCAGTGAATAGTCTGGAACTCTACCGCCAAGGCACGCAGACACCCATCGCTGGCCAATCGAAAAGCAGGGTGTTCATTAAAAACTTTCCGATTTAGATGAACACAGATGTCAGCTCTCATGTCCTTGGGGCAGATGGAGAGAACCTGAAGACAGTGAGAAATGAAGAAGGGAGAAGGAAAGAGAAAAGGCCAGTTCAGTAAAAACGTCATCCAACAAATGTTTATTAACTATGACAAAGTCTGCAACACACTGTAGTAGATGCTGGGAATGCAAAGTTAAAAGGTTCTCAAGGACCTAATGATCCAGTGAGATGAGCTGATGAGCATGTCTCACGGTTCATGGGTTCATGGGTTCAAGTCCCACATGGGGCTCACTGCTGTCAGCACAAGCCCACCTCAGGTCTTCTGTCCCATGCTTTCTCTTCCCCTCCCCCACTTGTGTTCTCTCTCTCAAAAAATAAAAATCAAACAAGAAAGAACAGAGTCTTAGGTGGTTAGGAAGAGTCTCAGAAAAAACCTTGATATAATTTCCTCCAAGAGCCAATTAAAATAGGGTGTTAACTTTCATTTTAGTCTAGTCTTGGTTTTAGAATTTTTTTCATAACTAAAACCAAAGGCTAATGTACTATATTCCACATTGGAGGTGGGTGCATATTAATTATAAGAAAACAAAGTCAACAAAAATAACCTTGTAACTTGACCTGCTGGCACTGGCTGATATAACTCCACCCTTAATGTGTCTTTTTCACTCTGAAAAAAATTCATTTTATAAATAAATTTATGCTCAGGGAGTGAAAAAGGTATTCACTAGCCTTCTGTAGGGTTTATACCACTGGAAGCAGCAGTGGCAACAAGATGAGCACATTGCTGCATGGTGACCTTGCTCATACTGGCCTTTGACTCTGGACTGCTGAGGGAAGCAGGAAAATTCAAGCTGCAGGCATCCTTCAGAAGAGGGCACAACAGCAGAAACATGCTTAGAGAGCTTTCTACCAAAGGGTTAGAAGACTTATTGCCTGTAGCTTCAGACAGGGCAATTGATGACCCAGAATAAAATGGACACCATCACCACATTTAATCAGAGCATCACAAAGCAAGATGCGATTACAGAAGTCAGTATCACCCATTTTAAAGATGCACACAAAACCCCACTTAGAATCCTCTCCCAACCCCCTTGGTAAACTGTTCCTTATTAGAAATTCTTTTCTTTGGTAGGCTTTCAACCCTTCAAGCTGAAGTCTTAAGCTGATCTTTCTCCATTAAATTATACTGAATAAAGTTTTTTTTTTAATTTTTAATGTTTTTTTAATGTTTTATTTATTTTTGGAGAGAGAGAGAAAGCGTGAGCAGGGGAGGGTCAGAGAGAGAGGGAGTCACAGACTGAAACAGGCTCCAGGCTCTGAGCTGGCAGTCAGCACAGAGCCCCACGCGGGGCTCGAACCCACGAACCGCGAGATCATGACCTAAGCGAAAGTCAGACGCTTAACCGACTAAGCTACCCAGGCGCCCCAAATTTTTTAATGTTTTTATTTATTTTTGAGAGAGAGAGGGAGAGAGAGACAGAGTGTGAGCAGGGGAGAGGCAGAGAGTGAGGGAGACACAGAATATGAAGCAGGCCCCAAGCTCTGAGCTAGCTGTCAGCACAGAGCCCAACATGAGGCTAGAACTAACGAGCTGTGAGATTATGACCTGAGCTGAAGTCAGGTGCCTGACTGAGCCACCCAGGTGCCCCCTGAATAAAGTTTTGTTATGAAATGTTTTTCTTTCCTGTACTACATGCATTTTAACCTTTAAAAAATTACCTAAGGCTTGAAATATCCTGGGTATTCCTTTTATTCGGGGCTCATAATCAATTAAAAGTTGCCTCCCTGTGTTGAAGATGAGTCCATCATAAATGTAAAGACCATTAATTATACTTTCATTATCCCTTCCCTTAATCTTTCCTAATACCGTACATGTTATTTTGTATCACTTAAGTAACTGTGGGTTGTTTTTTTTAATACTTCTTTAAATTCCTATGGGGGGTAGGGATCAACTCACCTATCCTGAAAAATCTCATCTTTGAAGAAAGGAATGCCAAACAGAGCTTTAGATGCAATTAGCACTTTCCTTCCACATCAGTTGTTTTCCATAGTAATGTAATGTTTTCTTTATTATATTAACCTTTAATGACTTCTGACATTAGTGGCTCAATAGGTACTTAGTCAGCTCCTACGATGGGGTGCACCACTGCACCTGGAACTAGAAGGATTAATAAGACACTGTCTTTGCCTTGGAGGAGCTAACTACAAAGTAGCAGGAGGAAGGCATGTATAAAAACAATTAAAATACAATGAGAAAAATGCTAAGACAGGCCATGGCCAAGGTGAAACGGGAGCCCAAGTTGCCCATGAGTCGTTACTTATGGCTTAGAGTTAGGAAAAAGACCAGGCCTGAGAACACTTAGGTCTGGGTGCAAATCTATCATTTACTACCTCTGTAGCCTAAATTATTTTATCTTCATAACCTGATGTGTGAAATGGGATGATGGTGCTCATTTCATAGGCCCATTGCAGGAATTAAATGAAAAGGTTTTGAGTTCAGCCAAGTTTAGCCTTGCACATGGCCAGGACTAAAGAAATGTTGGCTTTTATTACCCCTATTGAACAGGAGTATTTTTTTTGTTCTTTTTTAAAGTTTATTTATTTTAAGAGAGAGAGAGCGCAAGTTGGGGAGGGTCAGAGAGAAAGGGGGGTAGAGGACCCAAAGCAGGCTCTGTGCTGACAGCAGACAGCCCAATGTGGGACTCAAGCTCATGAACCATGAGATCATGGCCTGAGCCAAAGTCAGATGCTTAACCAACTGAACCACACAGGGCCCCCTTGAATATGAATATTCTTACAAAGTTTATTGTTGCTTTAACTCTCTGGAAAAGCAACATCCTTTTTTTTTTCCACCCTGTTCTGAATTCTGTATCTTGGCTGTTTGATGAGATTCCAGGCAAAATTAAGGAAATATTTCAGCATGAACCTGAAGATATTTCAAGCACTAGCTAATGTTGATATTTTTCTCAAGTTGAAAATGAAATTAGTGCTAGTGGAGCCAAAAAGTAAAAATGATTTTAAAATATATATACACATGCATAAACATTACACTGAATAGCTTAAAGGGAAAATGGACCACTCTGTTTCTATTCCATTTACCTTACAGGATTTTTAATGTTTTGGATTCATTTTGGTTAATAGTCATTTTATGTCCTTTTAATTATTTCTTTCAGGATTCATGTTGCAAATGAAATCCTCCAATATAAGCAATATTCTCCGTTCAGTGGCATATCAAAAGAAGATTTTTATTACATATTAAAGTGCATCTTTCCTTTTTTGTTTCACTTCACTTATGACACTAATTCACTTATTATTTTTATAGATGCCATATACTAGGCCCACGTTATAAAGTGACAAGTTAAAACTAAGTTAAAGTAGACCAAATTCACACCCAGTAGCAAGCTCCTTCCCTTTCCCTAGAGAGAGCATGTGCCTTACATGCTGTGTCTGTCATTGAAATATGAGTATAGATTATTTTTTTCTGTAAATGAAGGCACTAATAACTGTCGTAGGCAAGGCAAAACTTATTTTTAAGTGATAAAATTATAATCAGACGACTCTAACACCTGATCCATTAGTCCCAATTTCAATGTAATCTGCCTTGAATGTCATATCCGATCTCTTGTGGATAGGGTCCTTACTGGGTATCTTATAGTTATAGATAAATGAAATTACAAATCAGTAGAAAATATTCATATTAAAAGTGATTATCCCCGGATTTGAGGCAAGATGGCGGAGAAGTAAGGAGCTCCGTACTTGCACTCGCGCCCATCCATCACACAGAAAAGATCTGAAGACATTGGAAACCTTACAAAACCTGAGAGATTGGGAGAAAAAAGATGCAGAATCCACTGAGAGAGCCTTCTAACCGGACTCCGGCTCAGAACACTCTGTGGGCAAGGCCCCGCCCATGCGCGCCAGCCCGACCCAGAGAAGGAAGCAGCGATTCTGACTCCGCTCCCAGAGCTCCGCAGGGAGCCTGGAATTGCCCGAGGGGGTTTCCTGGGAAGCTGTGTCTAAGGCGACTTCAGCGGGGCGCGCGGACGGGGATTTGGAGACTGGAACTGCCCTGGGTTGAAGAGTGCAACCAACTTCGGCTGCGCCCCTGGTACGGGGAGTTTACACCCCCAAAAGAGTGAGGAGCAGCGCTTGCTTCGAGAAGGGACTGGAGCACCGTCACTCTCCTCCCCACAACCACCGAGGCAGAGCTCCCGCCTGAGGCATTGGATCCCGCCACGCCCATCCCTGCCTGAGAGGTGCCCTCCTCCCTTTTTTTTTTCCTTTTTTTT